AGCTGAAATTGTCCAGCTTTGCAGACAAGAGTTTTAGGATTCATGCCAACTTCTGATGGGAAAATTTGAATGCCACGATAATAAAAAATAATACGCAACTATTACCCTCTTGTATGGCAATTAAAGGGACACCAGGCTGGTAGTGAATAAAATTAAATTAAAAATAACAGACTTGCTCTGAAAGGCTATCATTTTATGTCAAACTACAGGTGCTACAGACACGTGGAAGTGGCTGAGTTTTTCACAGCTTACCTGTTGATTTCAATGGAGATCGGTTTTTATGCACAATACTGATCAATTGTTCAAATACATACATTTCACGTGGAGTAAATTGGAAACCATTGTGTCCACATTTTATTATAGGCTTATCATTAATTGTTCATCTTAAGTAGCTATATATATGATTGCTACTAGGGCATCAAGTAACTAATGTAGTCAGATTGGTCTATGCCTTCTATATTTAGTATGGCACTGTCAGTTTGGTTTTTATGCGCACTTTTGTTGCTATTTTATTTTTGTTTGACCTTAAAGGGACACTATAATCACTAGACCACTTAATCTCAATAAAATGGTCTGAAGGATGTGGCCTGGTCCTTTTAAGCCCCGTAATGCATAACTCTGCAGTATTTTGTAGAAACTGCATCGTTTACATTGCAGGCTTAAATCTTCTTCCAGTGACTGTCACACTGACAGCCACTGGAGTTGCTTTTGCTACATTAACCAAGTAAAACTCTGTCACATGACTCAAAAGCCTATAGGAAAGCATTGATGCAATGCTTTCCTATGGAGAAGCTCAGATGCATGCATGGCACTTGCTGCGCATGTGCATCAGGTCCCCAAAACTCCTATGTCCCCAATACTATGAGGAGCATTGGATTCTACAATCGCTGAGGCAAAGAGGTGAACAGCGCCGAGGGAGTCTAGACACTGCAAAAAGGTTACTACATCCTTTATTGTATTAATTTTAATGGCATACTGCTGGGGGTGAGGACAGATATACACTATCAAAAAGTTTGGCTATTCTACAACTAAACTAGGGATGGGGAATATTGCATTCAAGAGACAACACAGACATTTTACATGTCATAGCTACATGACAAAGCTTAGACACATGGGAAAAGAGATGATTGATGGCTAAGGGTCATCCACTAAATGTTGATTTAATTCACAGACAAGTGAGACTAATAGAGGAAGAGCAGTAAAAAACAATATATATATATATATATATATATATATATATATATAAATATATATATATATATATATATATATATATATATATAAAAATACATAAATATGCCTCTCCATTGCCCAATTCATTTGTTTTGTGATTCAGCTGTATTCCTGATCAGTGTTCGGAAATTTGAGCAATCACCCTATTGGCCCAAACTCAGATGAATCGCAGTTCATAACAAAATCAACCTCCAAGTCTAAAAAACATTGTGCTTTGTTTTCTTTAAAGGGACAGTCTAAACTTCACAACCAGTTTAGCCCACCGTAGTGGCTATGGTTCCAGGAGGACCCAGACTCTGCCCCGTCCCTTGGTAATGAGTCAAATAATATTCAGATTGTTTTACACTTACCTAGGTCCCTAGAGTGCCTGTGATCCTTCTAATCTTATGGATACCACTAAACCTAAAGTTCCCAATCCCCTTTAGCTATTTCAATGTTCTACCTATTTGCACATTATTCATTGGCATAGATTGTCAACTGCTGGTTTCAAGTAGAAACAAAACTGTTATGCAAAGGTGAAATGTGACTTTACATTTTAGTGACATTCAAAAAACAGAAAGAACATGAGTGCCCGAAGAACCCCTAGGACACCCCTTACCAGGGTTTGGCCTCTCACCATGGGTCGACACCAGGGGACTCCTAGCACCATAACCATTACAATGAGTTCTAGTGTTTAGACTGCGCCTTTAGATTTTACAGTATGTATTGTAAAATACTGAGATATATTAGTGCCCTACAATGAATAGCAACAAACAGATCTGCAACTGATACTTGTATAAATAACAATCCTATATTGGGTAGTCCCACAAAAGAACAATCATTTGGTAACTGGTTAAGCAAAGAACAGTCCTAGAACCAATGAACACTTAGTGACCAATCCTGTTAACCCAAACTTTGATGACCTATTATGTGATGAATATTCTTATAATAAACTGTTCTGTGATGAATATTCCTATGGGGAACAATTCTTCACTGAACCGCCCTTTCGATGAACAGTCCTTTTATCAATAGATCAATTAAAAATTCTCTCCGTGATTAAATCTTCTTCTGATGAACATTTTATTATAAACTATCCTTTAATAAATTGCCCTATGACTAATGGTTACAAGATCCCACCTATAATTTATTCTAATCAATAGCCTTGTGATTGAATATTTCATAAAACAAAGTGCTAAAAATGAGCTAAAATATGTTAAATTATCTCATCTCCTTTCACAAGAAATGCTTTGGGCAGATATACACTATCAAAAGGTTCGGCTATTCTACAACTAAATAAATGGATTGTTAAATATTAGTGAAACTTTTACCACATTTTATGTTACATTTGGTCTCATTAGCATTCTAGCCTAATAGGCAAATGTATTTGTTAAAAACCAGCATAAAGGAATCCCTTTTTGGAGATTCCTCTACAAGCTTAACCCAATTGTCTGCTTACCAAGTTTTGAAAAAGAACATTTTTTCAGTAGAGCTTTCTCTTATTTTTTTTTTCCTCTCTGCAGTTGCTATTGTGAAAAAAATGTGGGTTTCTCTCAGGGGATTTTTAATCCCTTTAAATGACACCATGAATACAACTTTTTCCCCTTCAGTGAAAACCTTTCTGGTATTCCTTTTTTTTATACTCATGAAATAAAAAAATAAATTTCACAAGTTCATAAGCATGGATCCCTGGGTTGGACTCTTATTAAGTCTTTTCTATTTACTTCCAACCTAGATAAGATCTTAATCACAGCCCTCAAATTATCCGTATTGACATTTATCAACTCAAGTCATCTTTTCTATAGCATGCTCCGCCTGACAAGTCTGCCTTTCTTCCACCCCTTCTGTTCAATGGAAGTTAATTTTGAGTACATGATTTATCTTGCTGAGCTAACAGCACTGAGGCTGTCCACCTTTTCAAAGGGCTGGCCAGGGAGTGAATTATAGCCAAGTTGTCCGGTGATTGCGTTCAACAGGGAAGGAGAATAGGCAGCCAGTGTGATGCCATGATGTGGCACTGGGACCTTTTCAGTGCGCAAAGAAAAAAAGATTATGCCTCTGACCGTGGGTCTGACAGGCGAGCGTTCTATCAGCAGACAAAAGGTTGAATACCTGAAAAGCTCAGAACGGCATGTACTCTGAGCTGTAAGGTTGTTTACAACACTGTATGCTGACCATTTCGCAAATTTACATAATATCACTCTGTGCCGATGACGCCTCTTAACTCAAATAAAACCAGAGGGTATTTTGATATCGATCAGATCAATTTGGCATTTGACGTCTTTTCAACGTCCATAGAACAAATCGTATTAAACATAATTACTAGTGATTTGAAGAATATTTTCTTCATTTTTTACACCTGAACTGGGACTAGAAGGGGTGTAATATGTCATATTCTATCGTATTATCCTTTTTGAGCAGTAGAAGGGGTGATAGGAGAAAAAATATTGGTGTGCAATAAATAATAATAAACATAATCAATTCTTTTAAAAAATTATCTTAAAATTAACTAAACCATAATAAAATGTATAACAAAAAACTATACAAAAATGGTCACATCACATGTACAGTACTTTACACTCATATTTTTGTTTGTGAATTATTTTTTTTATATGAAGATCTGCTTTAAATACAAACATTAAAGTATTAGACCATCTTTATAAACAAATATGTATTTTATTTTTTTCTTCAGAAAACAAAATACAAAAAAATGTTTAAAGCATTAGTAAGGCACACACAGCAGAGCAATTATTCCATGGCTTACATCATTGTTTCTCAATGGTCTTCCAAAGGAACCACTAGCAAATTAATTTTATAAATAGCCAATCCGTATTTAAGCTGTTATCTTTCTCTTATGCTTTTGCTTGGCACGAGCATTAACTATTTACTTGGCTGCAGTGCAGCTGGTAACATCTGTTTGCAAATACAAATTGTTCATAGAGACAAATTCTGCTCTGCAATAAAAAACTTGTAAAGACCTAATGTAAGCTGATGTATCGCAGTTTACCAGAACTGAATATATATCAGATTCTGCAATTGATATATTTTCATATCCTTGTAAATATTAGATTGCTTAGAATGTTTTTACTTCTGTGGGATTTGAATGCATTTGTATGTCCATGATCATGATAATGTAGTAATTAAAAATGCAACTTCCATACTTCCCAAGGATCCCTGTTTAGGAAAGACAGTCCCTATTTGGATCTAAATCCTTCGGTCTCTCGTTTCTATCCTAATATCCCTCCTTTTTAGGAGCTCCATATTGTTGGTGTATTCCAGAGCTCTACAATAAAATTATCTGTTTTTAAAGTGTCTATGTCACCCTCTCAAAAAATATTAGCATTGCATAAAGATTAAATCTATGAAACACGCCTAAAGACAGTGTAGGAATTTCACTGAAATTCAGATTAAGTGCCAGGAGCTGAAGAGGATACACCGAATCAAGATGGCGGCTCCAGCGAAGGATAGGTTGAAGTCAGTGAAACCTACCTTCCCATGTATCCATAGGCCACTGTACACCAAGCAAGATCCCCCATGTTGACAGAGACACTTTACAGTACAAATAATTTGTTTACAAATCAGTCTGTATAAGACACATTGTTCATGTTCTGAATGTCATTTTAGTTGCATAAATTGTATTTAGTAAGTCACTTAAAATGTCTCAGTACAGCGCCAACCCTTGCCACACACCCTCTCATACCATTAAAATTAAACTGTCCTTCTTTCTTTATTTGAGATGTTGGGAGGTATGATATTGACCAGTGCCAATTTTGATGCAAATTGTATATTTAGTCGCTGTTTGTTTGCTTTATTTATTTAAAGTGTATAAAATACTTTTCCATCTGCTACATAAAACATACCAAACATCTCACTGCATTGTAGTAAGCAAGAAAATTCATAGATGCTAAGCCTACAGCAAGAATTTTTCAAAGGCTAAATTTCTATGGAGAAAGGTTGTAACAATTATTTTATAACAGTCTGTCAAAAAGCAATTCATTGCCTGGAAACAACAATGCCCAATATGGTCAACTGGAATGCTGAACTCTGATTAGTTATTACAATGATCGTTACAATAGGAAATAAATTGATACTTTCTTCAATGCTACATTTCTCTATTATATAAAATCCAATTTCAAGCTACAATAAAAATGATATTTTTTCCACTTAACCATGTTTTGGAATTTGGACTAGCCAATGTTTGACACTAAAATGTCTAACTGCTAGGCCTTAGGGTAAGTGCTTGATGTGCATCATGGGAAATTTAACACACATATATGTGCTGCGTCAAAGGTAGCCAATAATACTCTATAGTTCTTCATTACACTTTTACTTGTTGATTTTCTAAAGGCTTTGTTCTTAAAGGCTTTATTTGTTAAGAAGATAAAAAAACAGCTATATCATCAGGTTATAACTTGCCATCAAAACATTGAGTAGCCAGTTTTGGAGGTGTCCAAACATAGAAGTTAAACATAAAGAAAGAGAAAGGAGGATAGAGAGGAGTAGAGGAGTGGTAATGGGACTCCTCAAATTTATAGTTTCATAGAATACTGACACAGACTGAGCACATCTCCAGATAGACTGAGTTAATCTCCAGTTAGAGTAGAGTGATCCAGTTAGAGTGACCTTTGCCATTAGTTTGTCCACATTGATTTTATAGAGATCCAATGTTTGACCTTAAATTTGAAATTCACCTTGAATTCTTCCTTTTGTGAATAACCCTGTCAGGGCCTATCAGAAAGAAAATTGAAGGGCTGTTCAAATTAGTGAAATATGTACAAAACAAGGTGGAACTCAATGCAGTTGTACAACATTTGCACAAATGAAGGGAAGTAGCACTATAACATTATAACTTTACATATATCCTTCCTCTATTTCCAGATTTAGGCCCATGAATGATTGGGTGCCTGAAACTGTATCAACAGTTTATATGATAACGTGATCTATGCCAGAGAACCGAGATACATTTACATGTACACATGCACCCGCAATTAGAGTTCCTATGCACCACTAATCGCTGGAAGTCTATTGTAGTTTATTTACAAAACAAGGAAAATAAATTGAGGACCAAAACAGAAAAGTCTTAGATTTTTTTTTTTTTTAATTTAGGTATTTGGGTCCTAAATTTAGCAATTCTTAATTTTCTTACTTTCAGGTAATACATGTAAAGTGCTGCCGAGCTGTACATATCAATCGTATGCTTCATGTAGGACATCAACAAATTAATCATGGCAGTCCTAATGCATTTTAAAAACGTGCAAAAGATGCAGATATCTTGTCTGCAGCCTTTGCAAGCCCTTCCCTACTACCCCAGCACAGACTTCTAGTGAGTGTACGCATGTCCTCCCGACTTTCCAATGCTTCTCCATGGCTGTAACACATATGTGTCCCTTTAATTGATGAACGTCCATCTGGATGCACATGAATTCTACATACTGGTAGGAAGCATTTTGACACTGCAGGAGGACACTATTCATATCCAATGCTAATATAATGAAAATGAAAATCTGTACAACAGGCAGAGGTGCTCATGTCTGAGGAACAGTAGGAAACAGACTCTGTCTAGTGCCCATAAACAAGACAATTGCAGAATCCTAAAAAAAAAAACCAGAAAAATAAATTAAACATTCCAAATAATAGTACTACCTTTCACCCTTATCCTCTTAATCCTCTGGAACTATGCAAGTTAATTGTCCAGTTCACATGTTGCCGGAACAACATAAGAGCATGCATTCTAACTAGTTCTAGTTAATTGACATAGAACTGATTGTGCTCGCTACTTCCCATATCCTTTTTTAACAGAGTTAAAAAAAATAACAGGGAACCCAAAATGCCAGCATTTAAAACTACTTTAATTACTTTATTTCAAAGCAATTGTTTACCCTCTCTAATTCAAGTGGTATATAACGTTTATTTTAAGTGTCTGCAGTCTTTTGTAACTAATTTATCACCTTTTTAATCTCCTTCCAGTTACCATTTAATGATGCTTAAAACTAAAGTTTGATTGGCTGCCACAAAGCATGCGTATTGCTACACTCTAGAAACAGTGTAAATACCTCTCAAAAACACATGTGATTATTCAAGCAAAATCTGCTAGCCGGTAAGTGCTATAATGAGCTCAGGCTGGTTTGGAAACTAATTAGTATGCTGTTTATTAGGGGAGTTAAGAATGTAATTACTGTGAGTAGACCAAACCTGCATGGAAACATTACCATAGGAATGTACTATACTCCATTCATTGTGAATTTAATACAAATCGCTATCACACGGAAAGGATTGCATGAATAAAGACTGTATGTTTGCATCTGATTAGTTTTTCTGTGAACTAAGTTTTTATACCTCTTTTTTTTTTCCTTCATTAATCCTATTTGAATTTTTTTTTTTTTTGTAATTTAGCTTGATTGGTCTAGAAATAGATGATATTGAAATAGTTATTTCTATTACTTCTTAAATAACATTTCAGGATTATGAAATAATTAGGTTTGTTTATGTGCATTGCACATTTTGGCTATTGTACTGTCTTACAAAAAAATGGAATTTTAACGGAAAGAAATTTTTTTTAAAATACTGATTTGATGAGTTTTATTCATTAAAATTTTGGAGGATCAACACAAAAATCATCAAAGTTTTGGCAAAAATACCTGAGAAAGAAAAAAAAAAGAGTTGAAGAATTTGTAAATAAAAAATAATGTTGGCTATTTTAAGGCCTCATCTTACCATTCTCAAATTAACTGACAATTCTCAATTTAGGGAATAGATCCCACAGATCCCTTGCGTTGTGCATATTTACACAAAGTCAAGTTTAGTTGAACTTTTTAGGAGACAAATTAATACAGTGCAAAAAAGTGGCATTACCAACTTATTAGTACTTCCTCTGTGTTTAGGAGTAGTAGTATGGTATTAAACAAATATGGAGTTCTTATTAAATTAAAAACTATGGAAATATACTCAAAAATTAGAACTGTGTTGACCGATATCACTTGAAAAAGACATTGTAATATGTTCTATTAGCACACTATTTCTTACAAGTGATGGTTTCCAATCATATTTTTCTTAACTTTTTATCGCAGTATGAGAGTTATAGTTCATGTACTGATTTTTGACAGTTACAGTACAAATAAGAAAGGGAAGATGGAAAGATCATATTGCAACTCTTTTCACATTGTTTACTTTCGATTTCTTTTTTCTCTTGACATTGGTCATTCTGTGTCCCCTATAGGCATCATTGTGAGTCGATTACCTAACAGTTGAACAACCACCTTGGAATCCAATGCTCAAACGAGCCCTACAATCTATACGAATTTGAGGTATATTAATATATATTGTTATGAGACGATTGACGTTGTGGCAGGCTTATGCAATGTATGATCATATACTGTAACTAAACCCTCATTATTTTTGCCAAGATTAGTTTTTTGGGGGTTTTTTAAGCTAAAAAAAGAATTGTGAGTTTTGAAGTTACTGTTTAGTGTATGAGTAAGTGCACTGGCTCTTGTGTAATATATATTGTTAACTACAATTAATTCCCTTTTATAGTTACTCATTACACTTGACTTGGAGAGAAAGCGTAATCAAGATATTTAGATACAGTTGATATAATTGATGGCATACATATTGGGTTTCAAGCATAGAAATGACAGAAACAGTGCTATATATGAGAAAAAAATATAATTTTGTAGATTATATTTTCCCTTTCATCTTAATATTTCAGTTATTCTATACTTTGGAATGTGAATATATAAACAAAGGAAACAGCGCTAAAATTAACCAATACTATAAATAGGGATAGTGTGAGGCAGCAAACCTAAAGATAGGGTTACCTCCAAACCCTATAACCAAGGATAGTACAAAATACAAAATAAATGAAGGCACAACCTTCATTTATTTTGTATTTTGTACTATACTTTGGAATGTGCATGTTTGATTATCTGTTTTTTTTAATCCTATTGTGGATGTGTCATTAATTCCAGGTACCACCACTGCACCAAGGTAAGTGTCCAATCTAGATTAAATATCTATCTTCAGGGTTCTGTGTTGGTTGTTTTTTTTTAAAATAAACCATGCTTTTAAAAGGATCCAAATAACTCTCACTGACTTTCTTTCATCTCTCCACTACACATTTTTACTACCTTTCATATCTACTTTAATCCATAATACATTTCACCTCTGATTCTAGTTCTCTTAGTTAGCTCTACCTCCTCATCAGCATCAGTTTCTCATCTCACTCGATATTGATTTTGGTTGGCGGTAATATTTTATTTGACTACAGCGTTAATGGGGAGTTAACTAATGATTCACTATAATGCCCTTTTAGAATAATGATGGCAGTGAATGACTAGTTTGTCAGGATGCACAGAGATTTACCTGTGACCTGTCACATTTTTGGTCTGTCATGCCCAGAACCACTGTCACATATGGCATATTACATGCCCTGTAAGCTGTACCTCCTCTGAAACATTGGACTGGTTTACCAGTATTATGAGAGGCACATGCCTTGCAGCCCTCTCTAGTCTCTCTGCTTGCTAATTGTTCAGAGCCCACGTGCTGTGGAGTCACAGGACACAGGAGATGGGGAGACTGTCTCTGGAAACAACTTCCAGCAACTACAGAGGACAGGGCAATCTCTGGGGCCAGCTCCCAGAAAGATATAAATATCGTAGACTACTTCCATATAGTCACATAGTCTTGAGATGGCTTTATAGAAGCCTTTCGTGGCAAAAATGGGGGCCTGTAACAGGATCTAAAGAGGGTGAATGTGGAACAGTAATGGAGCAAAGAGGACATTGGATTCTATAATAAGTACATGTGAAAGGGGGGTAAGAAACGTTTAATGGGGACATGGAAAGGGAATATGGATTGTGAAATGCAATGGGGTAAAGGTGCTCTGGGATTGAGGACATTCAAGGCAAACATGGCATGGACAATTCTAATAGTCTGCTGGGAAGGGGGAAGATAGCAATATATAATAGTGAAGGAAGGGGATTCAAATTATAATATTTCAAATCAAGCTAAAATTGTATCAGAACCAGATACGAATACAATAGTGCCTGTAGAACGTGCCTTGGTTTTAAGAAATTCTTAAAAAGTATTTGAAAATGAACAACATATATTTAAATGGTTTTCTAAGACAGCACAAGCCCTTTGCTACGTCTCCCTGCCCTTAGATGTAACAGTATAGATCCAATATCAGACATTATTCCTAAGTGAACTCAACGACCTGGCATTCTGAAACTAATTTTTCAAGTGGAGATAAAATTTGGATGTCTTTTTATTACTCACACATGGGAGAGTTCCTGAATCCTAATTCTCAGAAATGAAATAAAGGACCGTTCTTTTTATATGATAGTTTCTAAGTGCTGTGCAGATATACGATGGAATCTCATGCTAATTATTTCAATAAGTCTCCCCCAGCTCGTCTTGCGGAGTGAGCAGGAGATGTGTTTTAATATTGTTATAAACGTCAGTCTTTTGCCTATATCAGTTTCCTTGCAAAACTACAACACAAATCGTTTTGTTCATTTCGTAAAATTCTTTTGGTCTTTTGGCATGGAATGATTTACAATATGCACTCTGCATGTGAGCAATAAACTTTTAGCTTCAAAAATATAAGTTCCATCATTTAGAAACCTAGACCCATTTATACATTTTATGACTTAACTGTGTAGTATATTGTATAAACAAATGAACTATAAAAGTCTTACACTGTTAGCAAGATATTTCCCTAAATGACCCATGTAAAATGTTATGTTACACTTCAGACCTATTCAAATGAATCTTATATTATTCTGACAGTAATTTTACAATCAAAAAAAGCAGACAGTTTTACAATGGACCAAGCAACGATTCGCAACATGCGCGAACTAGCTTGCTACGTAACATCACCAGCATTACTTAAAACTCGAGTAGATTATTAATGGTCTTTCCCCATAAAGAAAAACAGATATGCTTCCTTTTTGTCCGTTCTAAACCTTTTTGTGATAGTATAGCATAATTCCAGCTATTTCTCAGTCATGCCCTTAATAGGTTGGCTTATACACAAGATGTCGCTGAAACTAAATGCTGGCTTTGGAGCATTCTCGAAGCAAATTAAGAATGCAGGCAGCTGGAGATGACTGTTTAATATTAGAGAGTAATTCTTTTTTTATATAGGGTATTGAATTCCAGCTTGTACAG